GTTAAATCTGGAGGGATTTCTGCCAAAACCTGCTGGGTTCCAAGATTTGTTCCTGAGTCTCTGGTATCATGGCTGTTAAACAATTTGATCAGGATCCAGAAAGGCCATTCATGGGCAGCGACCCGGGGTCTCGTTGGGACAGGTAGGAAAGGGCCGGCTCAACCCCCTCCAGTGAGGCCCCACGTGTCTTGTCACTGCGGGCCCAAACCTGACTGTCCAGTGGCCTCTGGAGGATGGTGGCCACTGAGCCACCAGGGGGAACAGGCCAAGGCACAAAACCTATTCCCAACTGGGGTGGCCGAGTGTTCGTAATCTACTGCGGTGACCGTACGCATTTCTGCCAAAAGCCGCAGGGTTCCGAGACTTGTTTCTGAGTCTCTGAGATCATGGCCATTAAGCAGCTTAATCAGGAGCCAGAGAAGCTGTTCGTGGGCGGGACTCAGGTGTCTCATTGGGGCAGGGAGAAAAGGGCCGGCTCCACCCCCATCCAGTGAGGCCCCATGTGTCTCGTCACTGCAGGCCCAACCTGACTGTCTAATGGCCTCTGGAGGATGACGGTCACCGAGCCACTAGGAGGGAGCAGGTGGAGGAACAGCACCCTTTCCCCCCTGGGGTGGCCAGGCGACAGTAACCTACTACAGGGACTGGACGCATTTCTGCCAAAAACTGCTGGTTCTGAGATTTGTTTCCGAGTCTATTGGATCATGGCTGTTAAGCAGGTTGATCAGGAGCCAGAGAGGCTGTTTGTGGGTGGGACTTGGGGGTCTCATTGGGGTAGGGAGGAAAGGGCTGGCTCCACCCCTATCCCGTGAGACCCCGTGTATCTCGTCACTGGGGCTCAACCTGACTGTCCAGTGACCTTTGGAGATGATGATCACCGAGCCGCCAGGAGGAAGCAGGTGGAGGGACAGCACCTTTTCCCCCCTGGGGTGGCCTAGCGCTGGTAACCTACTGCAGGGACCAGACACATTTCTGCCATTTCTGCTGTGTTCCAAGATTTGTTTTTTAGTCTCTGGGATCATGGCCATTAAGTAGTTTGATCAGGAATCAGAGAGGCCTTGCCTCCAATTATATAGCTGAGCTGGAGGTGGTTTGGGGGTGTGTCTCCCACATACCTAACTTTTGGCCATTTACTTTCTTTGTAAACTTGGCCCCAAGTTGTTGGGGTCTGGCACAGCAGCAATTTTGGGGTATCTAGAAGTCTGAAGGTACCATCAGGCTGCTGATGCACTCTCCTCACAGGTACAGATTGACCTGCTGGCGGCCCCATACCCCCTCCATCTGAGTAGGATTTTATTTCACACACACACACACACACACACACACACACACACACAGACATATATAGATATGTAGCACTGTAGCACTGTCATCCCATTGTTAATTGATTTCCTGGAGTGGGCACCAGTAACGTCTCCATTGTGAGACTTGTTACTGTTTTTGGCATATCGAATACGCCATGGAGAGCTTGCTGGGCTCTGCCATGTGGGCAGGATACTCTCGGTAGCTTGCCGGGCTCTCTGAGAGGGACGGAGGAATCGAACCCGGGTCGTCCGCATGCAAGGCAAACACCCTACCTGCTGTACTGTCGCTCCAGCCCATGTAGATGTCAGATATTTATATATAAACCATAATTTCTTTTTCCACTCTTGAACATTTGGGTTGTTTCTAGAATTTGGCTCCTGTGAATAGTGCCGCAATGAATGCAGGAGTGCAGATGTCTTTTCTACATTGTGCTTTTAGACCCTTGGGGTATGTTACAGGAGTGTTTGCTGGGTCATATGGAAGCTGAATTCCTAGTTTTTTATTTTTGAGGAATGTCCATATTGTCTTAGAGAAAGACCAGACCAATCAACATTCCCACCAGTACTGGATGAGGGTCCCTTTTCCCCTACATCCTCACCAGCACTGGCTTTTGTTCTTTCTGATGAGAGTCAGTCTTGCTGGTTTCAGGTAAGATCACATTGTTGTTTGATTTGCATTTCTCTAATGATAGAGAAGATTTCTTCAACTGCCTTTGTCCACTTGTATGACTTCTTTGAGGAATTCCTGTTAATTTTTTCCTCCCCATTTTTTGATAGGGTTAGATTATTTTTTTCTTCTAGAGTATTGCCAGTGCTTTATATATCTTGGATAGTAACCCTTTATTGAATGAGTGTTGGGCAAATAGTTTCAGTCTTTGGGCTGTCTTTGTATTCTTGTCATTGTTTCCTGTGAGGTTCAGAAACTGCTTAATTTAATATGGTCCATTTGTTAATCTTTGTTCCTACTTGTTACATCAGTGAGGTTTCATCCTTAAATCTTTAAATCTTTAAGCCTCTAGCTTCAGTGTCATGGAGAGTTCTGCCTATATGTTCCTCTATGTTCCTTATAGATTCACGTCTGATATTGAGGTCTTTAATCCACTTTGATCTGACTTTTGTGCACAGTGTTGGAAAGATCTGATTTCTTTTTTGTTTTTCTTTTGCATGACAGACCATTTTTTCCCAGCACGACTTGTTGAAGAGGCTTTCCTTCATATTTTTTGCTCCTCTATCAAAGATTAGTGGACAGTATACCTGAGGGTCTCTCTATGGATTTTCTATTTTACTCAATTGATCTGAGGATCAAAGTGATTCTAGTGTCATTGTTAAAACTACTGCTTTAGAGTACAATTTGAAGTTGAGAAAAGAGATGTCTCTCATCTTTTTCCCCTGGAGGATTGCTCTGTTTGCGGGTTGGCGTGGGGGTGGCAGGGTTTTTGTTCCATAGAATTTTAGGAGTATTTAGTGTTTAACCTATTTCTTTGAAAATGTCACAGGTTTCCTTATAGGGACTTCATTGAATCTGGATAGTGTTTTGGACTGTATTGCCATTTTGACAATGTTATTCCTTCTAATACATGATCAGGGGATATGGTTCCATATACTTTTCTCCTCTTTTTTCCTAAAGGAGTGTTTTTTTTTTTTTTTTTTTTTTTTGCTTTTTGGGTCACACCTCCTGGCAATGCACAGGAGTTACTCCTGGCTCATGCACTCAGAAATTACTCATAGCGGTGCTCAGGGAACCATATAGGATGCTGGGAATCAAAGCCAGGTTGGCCGCGTGCAAGGCAAACGCCCTACCCGCAGTGGTATTGCTCCAGCCCCTGTAGTTTTCTTTATATAGGTCTTTTTCTTAGTAATTGGACCAATTCCTAGGTACTTGAATTTCTAGGATTTAAAATAAATATCTCTTTCCTGTTTCATTATTTGCATATAGGAAAATCATGGACTTTTGCATATTAACTTCTTTCTTTCCTATCTGGATGCCTTTATTTTTATTTTTTTTCCCTTTGGATGCCTTTAATACCTTTTTCTTCCCTAACTGCTCTGGCAAGTACTTCCAATACTATATTGAATAATGTAGTAAAAGTGGACAACCTTGGGGCTGGAGCAATAGCACAGCGGGTAGGGCGTTTGCCTTGCACGCAGCCGACCCTGGTTCGATTTCCAGCATCCCATATGGCCCCCCGAGCACCGCCAGGAGTAATTCCTGAGTGCATGAACCAGGAGTAACTCCTGTGCATCGCCGGGTGTGACCCAAAAAGCAAAAAAAAAAGAAGAGAAAAAAAGAAAGTGGACAACCTTGTCTTGTGCCTAATCTTAGGGAGAAGGATTTTAGTTTTTCCCCATTGAGTGTAAAGTTTGTGGTGTGCTTATGGTAGATGGCTATGACTATATTGAGGAAAGTCAATTGTTTCAGCATCACTTGTTGAAAAGATTCTATTTGCATCATTATAATTGCCTTTGTCCCTTTGCCAGAGATCATTTGGTGACTATGTATATGAATTTATTTCCACACCATGATCTATTTGTCTCTTTTGACAAACCACATTCTTTTCTGTTGTAATTTTTTGGGGATGAGTCGTCTCTACTGTGTGCTGGGATCACTCGGGTAGCCTTGGTGATGCTCCAGAGATCATGTGGTATTGGGGATTAACCTAGGAGTATAGTTGCCAGGCTTATACCTGATAATGATAGTTTTGTAATAAGTATATATATATTTCATTTTCATAAATGTAGTTCACAATAGTTCATTACAGACAATATTCAAACACCAATACCACCACTGAGCACCTTTCCCCCCCACAATAAGAGGAAAGTGTGTGAAGGTTGTTGTATTTCATTCTGGAATCATTTAAGCCCAAATCTAAGAGAATACAAGCATGTATGTTAAAATCAAACAAACGTGTGCTACTTTTCATAAATAAGTGAGATAGAGTATAAGAGGTTCTGCAGCACTTTCTTCCAGGAGCTTCAGTTTATAGTCTCTGGGTCTTGGCCTCTGATGAGATTACATGACACTGGGGGCAGTTTGTGGGTGTGACTTTCAAGCTACTGGAAAACTGGGGAGCTGGCCGGGAGGCCCAGTCCCGATCCAAGCGGGCCTGGAGATCTGAGTCACAGGTTCCCGCATACCTGGGTTTTTCTACTGGTACCGTCTTGAGTGAGGCTCGTCCCCTCTGGGGTGAGGCTCGACCCCTTGTAGGTGAGGTGCACACACTCTGAGTGTGCTGAGAGTGGCCTGCACATGGTGGCGGTTGGGTTCTAGAGGTTTTTCGACTGCCAGGGTTCTGCTTGGGGCAGGGAGGGAAACTCAACCCGTTCCCCCTCCCCCCCCCCAAGGTGCTTCAGTGAAGACAGCCTGGTGCGGGGCCAGGGCATTCTGCCTATAATAAATCTTGCAGCCAGGTAGTATCAATTCACCAAGTTTATTCTTCTCCTTTCATTGTGTTGAAATTTTTGCCTTTTCACATGAACTTTAGAACCAGTGCATTGATATCCACCATATAATGCCTGGATTTTGCTTGGACCAGATTTTGAGTCTGCAGATTAAGTTGGGAAGAAGTGACATTTGACAATTTGAGTCTTTGTATCCATGAGCATGGCATATCTCAGTGGTTAATTTTTTATAAGTGTTCCATTTGAAATTTAGTTTATCAGTGTCTGACTGATCTTTGTAACATTTAACATTTTCAGGTTATAAATAAAGTTCACCTTAAGGCAAGTCATGTTGTGAAAAGAGATGTTGATGACCATTTAAGAATCAAGACTGTCTATGATAAAAGTATTGAAGAGTAAGTATATTATTTCAATACCTGTTTTATTAAGAATTTAATTATTAAAGATATTTTTTGTCTTCTATCTAAAGTTTCATAGTGTCATTGTACCTTGAGAATGGAATTACATTAAAAATCCTTTTGTTGCATGTGTATGGGGGGAGGGGTCTTCTTTTTATGTATTTATAGTCCTTTTTTATTGAATCTTCAGAGACACAGTTACAAAGTTGTTCATGATTAGGTTGCAGTGATACAATGTTCCAACACCTATCCCTTCTTCTTTTTAGGTGCTAGAGAAAGAATATAGCAGGTCAGGTGCTTGCCTAGCACTTCACCAACTAAATTCAATCTGAGCCTCCCATGTGGTTCCCTGAGCACTGCCAGCAGTTATTAATGAGTGGTGCAGAGCAGGTAGTAACTGCTGAGCATCACGGTGTGACCCAAAAACCAAAAAAAAAAAATTGAAAGTCATGAATGTTTGTGTGTGTGTGTGTGTGTGTGTGTGTGTGTGTGTTTGGGAACCACTCCTGGTACTATACTTGGGAGGGACCAGGCTATTTTCCAGGGATCAAAATCAGGGCTTCTGCATGTACAGCGTGAGTTCCTGCCCTCTGAACCACTTTCCTGGCCCTGTCATGAAATTTTTTTCAAAAAATTTGAATATGCTTGCATGTGGTCAAAGGCAGATCTGAAAACACCATCTCAACCAACTACTTGGAAAAAAATAAGAGGAAGTGCTAAGTGTGATAGTAAGAACATTTATAAAATTATTAGACAAAAAATGTTAAATAACTTAATTTTTTTTCTTTTTTTTTTTTTCATTTTTTATAATTTTATTTATTGAATCACCGTGAGAGCAGTTACAAGGCTTTTGGGTCTAAGTCTCAGTCATACAATGAAACACCCGTACCTTCACCAGTGCCCATTCTCCACCACCAAAAACCCCAGTATACCTCCATCCCACACCCTCCCCCTACCTGTGGGGCAGATGATTTCCACATTACTCTCTCTCTACTTTGATCACATTCAATATTTCGACACCAGACCCACCATTATTATTTGAGATTTTACCCCAACACTCAGATCTGCTGAAAAGGCAACAGTAGACAATTTGTGTTCTATTGCTGGTTATGAATAACATATGATGTCACGTGGCTGCAGTCGGGCCATGTGATTTTGAAATTCTGAAATTTTAACACTTAAATCTGCACGGATTTCTGCCAAAAGCCACTGGGTTTCAAGATTTGCTCCTGAGTCTCTGGGATAATGGCCATTGAGCAGCTTGAACAGGAGCCAGAGAGGCCATTCGTGGGCGATGACTTGGGGTCTCGTTGGGGTGGGGAGGACAGGCCCGGCTCCCCCCATCCCACAAGGCCCAACAAGTTTCGTCACTGCAGGCCCAAGCCTGACTGTCCAATGGCCTCTGGAGGATGACAGCCACCGAGCCGCCAGGAGGAAGCAGGCAGAGGGACAGCACCCTTTCCCCCCTGGGGTGGCCCGCGACAGTAACCTACTGTGTGGTTCGGACGCATTTCTGCCAAAAACCACTGGATTTCGAGATTTGTTTCTGAGTCTCTGGGATCATGGCCATTAAGCAGCTTGATCCAGAGCCAGAGAGGCCATTTGTGGGCGATGACTTGGGGTCTCCTTGGGGTGGGGAGGACAGGCTCGGCTCCCCCCCACATCCCGCGAGGCCCAACAAGTTTCGTCACTGCGGGCCCAAGCCTGACTGTCCAGTGGCCTCTGGAGGATGACTGTCACTGAGCCGCCAAGAGGGAGCAGGCGGAGTGACAACACCCTTTCCTCCCTGGGGTGGCCCGGTGACAGTAATGTACTGCGGGGTCCAGATGCAGTTCTGCCAAAAGCCACTTGGTTTCAAGGTTTGTTTCTGAGTCTCTGGGATCATGGCCGTTAAGCAGCTTGATCAGGAGCCAGAGAAGCCGTTCGTGGGCGATGACTTGGGGTCTCGTTGGGGTGGGGAGGACAGGACCGGCTCCCCCCCCCCCCCCCCCCGAGACCCTGCATGTCTCATCACTGCGGGCCCAAACCTGACTTTCCAGTGGCCTCTGAAGGATGGCGGCCACTGGGCCGCCAGGGGGAACAGGCCAAGGCACGAAACCTATTCTCACCTGAAGTGGCCGAGCACTGTTAACCTACTGCAGGGACCAGACGCATTTCTGCCAAAAGCCGCTGAGTTTCCAGATTTGTTTCTGAGTCTCTGGGATCATGGCTATTAAGCAGTTCAATCGGATCGGCCACATGCAAGGCAAACGCTCTACCCACTGTGCTATTGCTCCAGCCCAAGATCACCAGGATATTTTAAAGAAACTGAGAGAAAACAACTGTCAAAGACTCATTCTAAATGTTATGTCCACCATTTTTGATGAAAATTTTTTTTCATAAATGCCCTCAAGATATATTTTCATTGAGATGCATATTCAGAGTCAAATTTTGCAGATCATTGTTTTTATTTTATTTTACTTGATTTTCAGTCTCCACTCTTGATTAAAAGACATTATCTGGTATAAGAATCCTTTTGCCAGAGCAATGTTAGTATAATGAAGATAAAAGAAGATACAGACAGAAATGTTGAAACACTGATGAAGACAAGTTTAATATACTCTTTAAATTGTTCCTATCAATACAAAGCACTATGATGTATGATGTTTCAAATATTATTTATATGCCAAAGCTTCTTCTTAAGACCAGTTCTCAGGTTCTATTGTTTTGGGGATATTCCCCTCCTTTGTTTAATTTTCTTCTATATGTGCAAGAAATCATTGTATGTCTGCCCCTCTACTTCTGACTAACTACTCAGCATCACACTTTTCAGATACATGAACTTAAGCAATGAATTGCGTAATTTCAACTTTCCCTTTTTGTTTTTTGGGCCACGCTGGAATTGCTCAGGGCTTTTTAAAATTTTTTTTCCATTTTTATACATTTTGTTTTCATAAGGTAATTCACAGTATAGGAGGAACCATAAATACCCACAGAAATCGGTGGAGATTTTGGATAGCTGATATTGAGTGCTTTTACACACAAAATCTTGGGGATCCCACCAGATGCATTATGAGTAGATAAGCTAGTGCCCAAACCTTTATTGCAGTTCTTATGGTTTATGTCATTTCAGGTTGCTCCCTGAGAAAAGACACCTTGTAAAGGTATGTATTGACTTGTAATCACTCATGATTTGGCGTTGAAAGGTTAAAATGCATGCATTTTATTGTGTATTCTAGTTTAGTAAATGCAACAATGTGTCTGTTGTATGAATAATTGGAAAAAGATACTGGTAATAAATCTTATCATTTGCAGGGGAGGGGTTGGGGCCACACCTTGCTGTGCTCAGGGCTTACTCCTCGCTCTGTGCTTGGGGATCCCTGCTAGCTGTGTCCAGGAGACCATAAATGCACTGTCAGGGGTGGTCAGACCGGGCTAGACCACACGCAAGGCTAAATGCTTGCACTATCTCACTGGCGCTGAATGTATCATTTTATCAAAGCTGTTTTTATTATATACTCACCAAAATTGATTATATACTCACCAAAAATTTTGTATTTTTATATGAAATCGGTCTCTCCCTCCCTCCCTCCCTTCCTCCCTCCCTCCCTCCCTCCCTTCCTTCCTTCCTTCCTTCCTTCCTTCATTTCTTCCTTTCTTTGTTTCTTTGTTCCTTTCTTCCTTTTTAAATTTTTGTGCCATACATGGCAGGGTTCAAGGCACTCTCCTGGCTTTAAAGTTGGGCATCAAGTCTGGTAGTGCTTGGAGGGCAGAATTGGGATTGAATCTTGGCCTCCCACATGTGAAGCAAGAACCCATTGATCTATGTCACTCTAGCTCCCAAAAAGAAATTTTGTGGTTTTCTTCTGTTTGAGGCCTTTGGGTCACTTCTTTTTTTTTTCCATTTTTTTTTTATTATTATTAGTGAAACACCATGAGGTACAGTTGTAGATTTACAATTTTTTGTGCTTGGGTTTAGATTATACAATGATCAAATACCCATCCCTCCACCAGTGCCCATTTTCCACCACCATGGATAATATCCCTCCCACCCCCATCTCCCCCATCCCACCCTGCCTCTGGCAGGGCAATCCCTTGTGTTCTCTCTCTCCTTTGGGGTGTTGTGGTCTGCAAAAGACGCATTGAGTGGCAAACATGTTCAGTCCATAGTTAACTTTCAACATGCATCTCCCCTCCTGGGAGGATCCTCCAAACATCCTTTATTTGGTGCTCCCTTCTCTATCTGTGCTGCCCTTTCCCCTAGAATGCCTGGCTGGCCTCTAAGCTATGGAGTAATCCTCCTGGTGCTGATCTCAGCTATTCTTGGGTAAAGGTAAAGGTAAAGGCCCTCCCGTTGATCGTCGATTTGCTCGAGCGGGCCCAGTAACGTCTCCATTGGAGACTTTGTTGTTACTGTGTTTGGCATATCGAATACTCTCGGTAGCTTGCCGTGCTCTCCGAGAGGGGCGGAGGAATCGAACTCGGGTCGGCCATGTTGGCCGCTTGTAAGGCGAATGCCCTACTGCTGTGCTATCGGTATTAATCTCATATTCCCCAGATGAATGCAGTCTTTCTATGTCTGTCCCTCTCTTTCTGACTCATTTCGCTTAGCATGATACTTTCCATGTTGTACCACTTGTATGTAAATTTCATGACTTCATCTTTTCTAACAGCTACATAGTACTCCATTGTGTAGATGTACCAAAGTTTCTTTAACCAGTCATCTGTTCGTGGGCATTCAGGTTTCTTCCAGTTTCTGGCTATTGTCACTTCTAGCGGTGCTCTGGGGCTCCTCCCGCTCTGTGATCAGGGGTCTTTCCTGGCAGTGCTCAGTGGACCATGCAGTTGCAGGGTTTGAACTGTAAAGGAAGTTCAGGCACAGCCTGCAGCCACCTGTGTCTCCCACCCTAAGGAAAGGAAGCTCTGAGCACACTGTGCTCCCCTGCGGAGCAGGAGGGATGAAGCCCAGATTGCCTGATGGGATGCTTCCTTTCGCAGCTTCTAAAAAGTGATTGCAGAGACACTCAGCTAACTCTTCATGAGCTACAGAAACTGCTGAGGTTAAAGTAGATGTTCTAAATGTGAAATTTTCTTTAAAACTATCTTAAATTGGGAATCATGTAGATCAGTCTAAAATTTGAAGTAATTTAGACATTAGCTTCTGAAACTGAGTGCCCCTACCCTATATGGGGACGTGTAATGTGGCTGTTGTAGAAACTTTTAAAATTTGTTTTAAAATAAATTTCTTTTATAACTTGTAATCAGTAATTTTGCTTGTTTGTTTGTTTTTGCTTTCTGTCATACCTGATGCTTCTCAGGGCTTTCTCAGGCTCTGTACTCAAGAATCACCCCAGGCAGGGCTTGGGGGACCACTTGGGTGGCGGGAGTTGAAACCCAGTTGACTCCGTGCAGGTCTAAGGCCTGCTGTACTACCTCTCTGGCCCTGACGTGGACCTGTCTTCTAATGTTATACCTGGACTTCTATAAAAGTTTCTCAGGCAAAATGAGGTTGCAGGTGATTTAGGGCCGTGAGTGCTAATGCAGGGGTCAAAGCTGTGCCTGCAGCCGACCCGAGTTTGATCCCCCACAACCATATGGTACCCTGAACTTCAGGCATTGCCAGGCACAGCCCTGAAGCCCGCAGTCTCCCTCAGTCTGACCTGGGAGGGCCCCGAGCACCACGAGGGGACCCTGAGCATCACGGGGAGGCCCCCAGCCTTTTGACCACAGCTGGGAAAGGCACCCCAAGTCCTGCCTACAAAAGGAGTCCTAATTTAGATGCATGGATGACATTTCAGTTTCCTGATATTCTACTTATTTATTGAATTTTTTGGGTTTTGAGTCACACCCCGTGATGCTCAGGTTACTTCCGGCTCTGCACTCAGGAATTATTCCTGGCGATGCTTGAGGGACCATATGGGATGCCAGGGATGGAACCTGGTTGCCTTTTGCAAGGCAAACACCCTACCTGCTGTTCTATTGCTCTGGCCCCTAAATATTCTATTTAAATGGGGGCTGAGAAGGAAGTTTCTTCCTGTATTCTTTCCCTAAGTGTCCCTGGAATATGACTGCAATTGGCTGGAGCGATAGCACAGTGGTAGGGCGTTCGCCTTACATGCGGCCAACATGGCCGACCCGAGTTCGATTCCTCCGCCCCTCTCAGAGAGCCCGGCAAGCTACCGAGAGTATTCGATATGCCAGACACAGTAACAACAAAGTCTCCAATGGAGGCGTTACTGGGCCCGCTCGAGCAAATCGACGATCAACGGGAGGGCCTTTACTTTACTTTTCTTTGCACTCACGGTCTTTCTAACCCTTGCACACAACCTTTCTGTCTTCTAGAATTCTACAGTTTTCCCTCTGTGCCCTTAGTCCTTAATATCCTGGCATTTACTTGCTTGAAATACAATTTAAATTTTTTTCTTTGACTATAATTCTTTTTCCCCCCTAACTTTTATTTAGAACAAGCTTTTCCCGCAAGCCATTTCCTACTTGGAGAAGACGTTCCAGGTGCGCCGGCCCGCGGGCGTGATCTTACTCAGCAGGTGCGTCCCGCAAACACCGTCTCGGCGCCCGCCACTGCTCCCTGCCCTGCCCTGCCGTCCTGGCACATTGTGAAGTTTATGTGAGAATATATTGCGATTCTTTCTGTGATTAGAGACAAAACTTCACTGTGTTTAAAAATAATTAAAAACCACCTGTTGAGAGTAATTTTTTCTTGACTTTAATTACAAGGCAACTTGTGGGTCTTTTCTGAGATGTATTTGCCCCCATTTTCTGTACCCACTTTCTCCCTCTATTATCTGTATACAGTAATGACTTGATGAAAGTTTGGGGGACTTGAAGACTCTTCTCAGTAGAATTTCTCCTGGCACCAAAATTCTTTCTAACTAGAAGAGTGCCCATTATTAACAAACTAAAATCACAGCTCCTAGACTTTGTTTTTAATTGCCGCCAACCTTAACTTATTTATATTTTTCTAATTAAAATTTTATGAATGCCTGAACTGAAGACAATGTGCAACAAACCAGTACCTCCGGAAAGAGAATGACCCCCACAGATACTGCACTGGGGAGTGCGCCGCGCATACGAAGTGTGGCCCCGTCACAGTGCCCGAGGAGCACCTCCAGGTAACCACCCTGCTCTTAACAAAGTCTGAGTGTTTAGAATGAGTTTAGGAGAGGACTTTCACTCTGGAGAAGCCTGTGTTCTTTCTCTCTCTCTCTTTTTTGTTTTTTGGTGGTGTGTGTGGCAGCGGCTTGGGCCATACCCAGTGATGCTCAGGGGTTACTCCTGACTCTGCACTCAAAATTTTCTCCTGCAGGTGCTTCGGGGACCATATGGGATGCCAGAGATTAGATCTGGGTTGGCCGAACACAAGGCAAATGCCCATTCTGTTGGACTATTGCCCAACCTGTGTTCTTTCTTGAACATGTATCTCTCTCCTCATGTCTCTGTAAATTTCTTTCGATAAAACTTTTTTTTTCACTTAAAAGTATAAACTTATGAGAGATTTTTGGGCCATTCCTGGAAATGTTTAGGGGTTACTCCTGGCTCTGCACTCAGGAATCAAGTTTTATTCTCATTGGTTTTCAAATTAATGATATATTTTCTGTTTTCAGTTGATCTCTAGACTGCTAAATAATTTCAGTTTAGAACTTTGTTTTCTAATCAGGTTTTATAGTAGGTCTATACCTTAGTTTTTTGAAGAGTGGTTTGACATCCCTTGAAATAAAAATCATAGAGCCGGGGCTGGAGCGATAGCACAGCGGGTAAGGCGTTTGCCTTGCACGCAACCAACATGGCCGACCCTGGTTCGATTCTCAGCATCCCGTATGGTGCCCCGAGCACCGCCAGGAGTAATTCCTTAGTGCATGAGTCAGGAATAACCCCTGAGCATCGCCGGGTGTGACCCAAAAAGCAAAAAAAAAAAAAAAAAAAATCATAGAGCCATAGTGATATCTCAGTGGGCTGAGTGCTTGCTTTGCATGGCCCAGGTTTAGTCCTTGTCCGTCTGGTCCCCCAGCACTGCCAGGAGTGACCCCTGACCCCTCAACTACCATTGAGTGTATCTCCAAAACAAAAGCAAAAGAGTATATGGTGTAGCCTAACTTAGAAATATGTTCCATGAAAAAAGATAACTGTGTATTGCATGTATAAAAATACACTTTCCAAAAATATAAATGTGGGCCAGATAAAATATATAAATATCACATTGTTGGTAGTACAGTAGGTAAGACCCTTGCCTTGCATGTGACCAACCCTAGTTTGATCCCAGTACTATATGGTCCCTTAAATACTGCCTAGCATGATTCCTGAGCACTGCCAGTGTGACCCCAGAACAGAAATAAAAAAAACTAAATATTTTTACCTATATTACCTATAAATTATTACCTATATTTATAGTATATTATGGCATTGCTATATATTTTACTGTATAGCATTCAGACTGGGAATGTAGCTCAGTGGGAGAACGCTTCCTCGCCTATGTGAGGCTCTGTGTTCAATTCTGACAATATGAAAAACAATACAAAACACACAACAAAAAGGAAATAGACCTCTGTATACTTAGATATTTAGACTCTTAAATGAAAAAATTTTGTAAATCAGTTATATTTACAGTTATATTTACAAATTAGTCATTCTATTTTCAACAAATAGTTTGTAATAAGCATTAAAATAACTAAGAAAAATTATGAGTATTTATACCCATTGGGGCTGAAGCGATAGCACAGCAGGTAAGGCGTTTGCCTTGCACGCAGCCAACATGGCCGACCCAAGTTCGATTCCTCCGAGAGTATCTCGCCCGCAAGGCAAAGCCTGGCAAGCTACCCGGGAGGTATTTGATATGCCAAACACAAGTCTCACGATGGAGACATTACTAGGTCTTATATGTATAAGGACCTAGGGGAGGGGGGAAGGGGAAGGGAGAGAGAGAGAGACTTTTCCTTGATATCTTATGCATTTTAATTAATGTTCTAATTTTTCATACTAAACTTAAATAACTTGCACTAGAAAAATAATTTAGCTACAACTAGAGAAAAGGTTTATTATACATGTCTATTTAAAAATATTGCTTGTCGCTATTTTCTCTGTTGAGCTATATTCTCTCATTATTTATAGAAAGCAAATAAACTACTAACCATTTACTTGTACCAGAAGTAAGCATATAGTTAAATGAAGTTTGCTTCATCAATTTTTTCCTTAAAGTATTTGAAACTCAGAGAGTGGGGGGCTGGGCTCATTCCTGGCGTTGTTTGGGGAGCCACCTACAGTGCCAGCAATCAGACTGGTGTCAGCCACATGTAAGGCAAGCAACTTTAACTCGTGTGCTCTCTCCCTGGCCTGATTTTAACTTTTTGGCTTACATGCACTTACATTTTCTAAACTTTTAACAAGATATAAGAATGGCTTTATAAAAGATATATATAATTGTTTAGTTTAAAAAGGTCATTATTGGGCTGGAGTGATAGCACAGCAGGTAGGGCATTTGCCTTGCATGCGGCCGACCCGGGTTTGATTTCCAGTGTCCCATATTGTCCCCTGAGCACCGCCAGGGGTGATTCCTGACTGCAGAGCCAGGAGTAACCCTTGTGCATCACCGGGTATGACTCCAAAAAGCAAAAAATAAATAAATAAAAAGGTTATTATTAATTTGAAATAATTATAGATATGCAAGAAGTTACCAAAAATGTAGTAGTTCCCTGTTCCCCCATAGATAATTTCAGAAATTCAAGTTCTCCTTTGAAATACTGCGTTTCTGGATGCCCTCGGAAGCATCTGAAACCAGAGTAGTATTGGACTTCTATCATTACAGTGTTTGTTCTTACACACACACCTGCGATAAAGTTTAATTTAGAAAGTTAAAGCAGTCAGAGTCTGAGAGCAATAATAAAATAGATGAATTATAATAATGTGGTACGTGGGCCAGAGCAATCATACAGCAGCTAAGGCGCTTGCCTTGCACACAGCCAACCTGGGTCTGCTCCCCTGTACTACACAGGGTCCCCCAAACCCCCTGGGAGTGATCCCTAAGCACTGCCAGGTATGGCCCCCAAACAAAATATATGTGGTATATACATATATGGTATAATACAAGTTATGTGAATATAGCCTCTCAAGATATGTGATTAAAATATGTGCTGTGTTTGCCCACGGCTATCAGAAGCCACAGAATGTAACCCCACAGATTAAGGGGGACAGTTTGTACATAGAAGTTCCTTGCAGCCGTCACCTAACTTAGGGTTTATTTTTTTCCTTTTGGGTTGGGAGGCAATAACCAGTGGTGCCCAAGGTTTAGTCCTGGCTCTGTGTATGGGGTCACTCCTGAAGGTGTGGGGGGGGGGCAGAGTGGAAACAGGGTTTTGGGGGATCATTGTGGTTCTGAGTATTGATCTAGGTCTGTCTCCTGCAAGGCCTTACCTCCTGCATTACCTCTCCAGGCCCGACGTTAGTTTAAAGCCGTTAACTCTTTTTTGACCCTTATAAACTCTCTGTTGTTGTTTTTATTATGGTAAGGTAAAGGTAAAGGCCCTCCCGTTGATCATCGATTTGCTCGAGCGGGCCCAGTAACGTCTCCATTGGAGACTTAGTTGTTTTTATTATGATGATAGATATTTTTGATTATTTTATGTAAAGTAGCAATTTTAGTGGAATGAATTCAAGCATCAAGATAAGAATGAAGTAAAGACAGCAATGAAAGTTGAGGAATAATAAGTAAAAGATAACAAACGTGTTTAGAGACTGGATTCTTCTAATATTAGTTGTCCACACAACTAACCTTTCTCTGGTCTGGTTTTTCTGCTGCCCACTTCTGGGTACAGCCGTGCAGGGTCTGCCGTGGGGGTAAGTGGCCCTGTCCAGCAGTGGGTGTGCAAGACCACGAGGGCATCCGGGATGCAGACTTTGTTCTTTATGTTGGTGCTCTGGCCACTGAGCGGTGCAGCCGTGAAAACATCATCTCATACGCAGCCTACTGTCAGCAGGAAGCAAACATGGACAGGTAAAGTTCCCGAGAGCTCTTGTAGGAACTCTTAAAAACAAAGTATTTTGAATACAGGACATTTTCGTGGACCAGCTTTCCTCGTCATCAGAAAATAGTTTACTCACCTTGGCTGGGTGGAGTGGGGAGGGGAGCGGCCTGTTGGGACTCCTGTCCTTAAGGTAATTTCAGGGACTCACCAGAGGAGCATCCTGCTGTTAGGAGAGTTTTCTTTCTTCTTTTTTAAATTTAATTTTAATTTTTATATATTTATGTTTTTATAAAGTTGTTCACAATAATTTATTACATTTTATATTCTAACACCAATCCCACCACCACTACACCTTCCCACCACCTTATTTTGAATGTCTCTACCCCGAACACCAAACCCTGTCCCCAAAGCTGAACCTAAATAATTGAGTTTATATTGCTTTTTATGAATAATCCACTAAAAAGATCAAATAAAGTTTCCTTAGAGGAAAGTGTGTCACTTGAAAATTTAGTCTCCCTGGAGTCCCAGAGAGATAGTAAAGCAGGTGGAGCATTTGCTTTGTTTGCAGCTGATCTGGGTTCTATCCCTGGCACCCCATATGATCTCTTGAGTACTGCCAGGAATAAAACCTGAGTACCCCTGGATGCCCAAAAAACAAAAAAATTAAGTATCATTTTAACTTGCAAAAGACTTAAAATTTTTTTTCTACAAGGGAACAGCCTTGAAATGAAAATTTATTTATTTGTGCAAATTGATTGTTGTACTTTGGACAGGACAGTTAAAGGCACTAGAATTGACATTTCAGAGTAGAGTTTATGCATTCTGAAATCTAGGAGAGTGAATGTAATGAATTCTTGTAACCAGTACCCGATGTCAAGACATTCAGCTGCCAAATGGCTAGATGATTTTAAAAGAGTGGTTTCCCTCTAGTGAATGTCTAATTTAAAGAGAAAAAAAAAATGAGTTTCGTTAAATCAGTGGGCAATACAAAGGCAACACCATGATACACTTCCGAATGGTACTGTCAGTGCTGAGAGGGCAAGGAGGTCAGAGTCAGATTCATGGATTATGTAAAGCATGTTTTGAGCCACAGCTGGAATTGCTCAGATCTTACTCCCAGCTCTGCTCTCAAGGATCACTTCTGACAGGCGTGGGGGACTTTATGGGGTGCTGGGAATCAAACCTGGGCCAGCCGTGTGCAAGGCAAACTTGATCCACTCTCTTTGGCTCTTACTTAGAAATCTTGTTGAGATGCAATTTTCACACACTAAGGAAACTTTTTTGGATTATGTTTAGTTAATTATTCATAACAAGTAATACAAAATAAATTATTTAGCACCTGCCTTTGGGGCAGGCTTGGGTGGTGGTGGGTGGTGGGAAAGTTTGAAATAATGGTGGTGGGAAGGTATAATGGTGGTGGGATTGGTGTTGAAATATTGAAAGTAATCAATTACTATGAACAACTCTGAAAATAAAATGAAAATAAAATATAAATCTTTTTTAAAATGTTGGAAGCTTAGTGTATTTCTGAAGAAGAAAGTTCTGTATATTGTACATATAGGTAAATTCTATTTAATAAAAAGAATTCATGTATTTAATAGTGTTCCCTTATTCCTGAGAAATTGTCACTAAATATGTATATTTTATATTAATTATTTTATTAACATATAAAATGCCATATTTAATAACATTTCTCAGGAATAAGGGAACACTGCTAAATACAAATACAAAGGGACCAACAGAGACCTACCCAGGAAGGGTTGAGGCGGGTCTGCCCAGCACAGCCTCGGAAGCCACTGGGTAGGATGGTTCTGTTTTTGTGTTTGTTTTGGGGCCACACCCAGCAGTGCTCAGGAGTTCCTCCTGGCTGTGTGCTCAGGAGTCACTCTAGGTGGTACTCGGGGAACCACAGGGTATGCCGGGAATGGGACTCGGCTTGGCTGTGTGCTAAGCCTGTTGTACCATTTCCAGCCCGGCTGGAGGTTTTCTGTGATTCACGGTGCTGTCTTTTCTGGCCGGTCGCCTTGAAAATGTGCAGTGAGCTCAGCGAGCACTGATTGCTACGGGAGCATGTGAGCAGAGGCGTGTAGAAAAAGTTTGGTGTTGGCTGCGTGTTTGAGAGTGGGAGTGCCCAGCAGAGAGCACAGAGCCTTTCTGGGTGTGTCAGCAGAGAGAGGCCTCTGGTGGCTACAGCCAGAAACATGTGGCACCTTTCCCAAACAGAGCAAGGCAGAAGGACTAGGTGTTTCCCAATGGAACCACGTTGGGCCAGTTCACACCCCTATTTGCTCAGGACCACTCTTGTTTATACTGAAAACCCCAGTTCTGGTAAAGCTTTGGGCAGTGCAGGGTGACTGTCCTCTCTAAAGATAAAGCACCCCTAATTAGTGACAGTCATTAGGCCTGGGAGGGGAATCTAGTGAGAGTGGAATGTGAAATGGGACATTTTCACTTTTCTTCTTTATACATTTCTATGCTGTTTGAATATCTATTTTTCTGCAGTGAACTGACTTCTTAAAAAAAAAAAAGCTGTATTAAAGTAAGTAAAGTAAAGGCCCTCCCGTTGATCATCAAGTTGCTCGAGCGGGCCCAGTAACGTCTCCATTGGAGACTTTGTTGTTACTGTGTTTGGCATATCGAGTACGTCACGGGGAGCTTGCCAGGCTCTGCCGTGCAGGCGAGATACTCTCGGTAGCTTGCCGGGCTCTTCGAGAGGGGCGGAGAAATCGAACTCGGATAAAATGAACTAATCCTACTATCTAGGGTTCATGTTTAATGTTTTAGGATTGGTGTGGCTTCCTTGGGCAAGATTGGAGAGGGATTTCACATCTCATGTTGAGGTGGGGATCAGTTTACTTCCTTTCAAGACCTGAGCAGGCCGAGAGGACCTTAAGAGTCAGGTTGTTTTTTTGCGAGTAGTTCCCAGTATTCCAGCTTTCAGGAATCATCACTTACATGAGTCTTATAACCCAGCAGCGTATTTCAGTAGCCTTGCACTGTTGTGCTTTGTAAAGCATATTTGGTGCACCTTTAGTATCTGGAAACAGAGTCAGCATTTTTTTTTACCAGTGAGTATGAGTGAAGCTACCCACATATTCTTCTCATACCTGGAAAAAGATTTAGGTCTTGTCAAAGGAGAATATTCATGTTGGAAGGAAACTTGGGCTTTTGCATTTGTGCTTTTTGAGTCTTTTTTGATAGAATTGAAACTTACCTTCATAAACTACTATATTAATTTATTTTATTCTTTGAATATTTGACGACTACCAGATTAGGTAGGGCTGGAGCGATAGCACAGCGGTAGGGCATTTGCCTTGCACGCAGCCAACATGGCTGACCCGAGTTCGATTCCTCCGCCCCTCTCGGAGAGCCCGGCAAGCTACCGAGAGTATCTCGCCTGCATGGCAGAGCCTGGCAAGCTACCCATGACATATTCAATATGCCAAACACAGTAACAACAAGTCTCAAAATGGAGATGTTACTGGGCCCGCTCAAATCGATGAATAACGGGAGGACCGAGGACTGTGACCAGATTAGGTGAGCAAAATAGATGTGTACCTACTCCTGGAATTTACAATTAAAGAGGTCAAATTGTTAAATGTAGGCTAACACTGTTTTGTCCTTCCTGCATAGCCTCAGGTAGTTTAGGTGTATTGGGTTGCTCCCATCACAGTACTCCCATTCCTCTGAGTTTATTTGTAACTTCTTTCTTTGTTCTCTGTTGACTTGTTTTTCTCTTCTTCATAAGTCCTTTGCATAGTTTATTCAGAGCAATGTCCTTTTTGTATGGACACAAGAAGACAGTATGTGCTATGCTTTTGTTATGTGACTCAGTGATATTTTCCTCCTGGGCATCTGTTTTCTCACCTAAGCCTCAGCTGCCCTTTCTTCCTAGTGCCCCCCAAATCAAGGTCCCGAAGAGGGACTGAATGGAACCAGGGCAAGCGATAAGCTATGTGCTACCCTGGCATCAAGATGGGCCTGGCCAAAGTGCATAGTGCTTAACTATAAGCTAAGAGCTTGGTCATGGACAATGGCTGTCATGATACAAAAAGTAATAACTAGATTTAGACCATGCTAGGGTTAGGAATGATTAGTCTGAGTCTGTGGCAAGATGTTCCCAGGAGAGCTGCCCTACAAGGCTCAATGTTATCTCTTACTGTGTCCATACAAAAATAACTAGTATTGAGATGTTGACAGAGTTATTGGACTGAGGAAAGGAGAAAAATAGCTTAGGAGGTATTTGCCCTTGGGCAGTCAGGAAGGGCTTTGGAATACCTTTGAGGTGGTGTTCCCTTTGATCTTGGTGTGAGCTCAGGAAGGGCTTTCTTGTGTTGATTTTGCTACCTGACTGGGTGCAGTGTCAGCCCAGAGTGCTGGGGAGTTGGAGAGACAAGAGAGCTGGAGAGAGAGCAGGACAGCATGATGAACGGTGGATAGGCTAGCAGTGGGGACAAAGAGAGAAGAATGTAGAAGAATACAGGAGCAGGCACGTGGAGAGAGAGAGAGAGCCCAGGGTGTGAGATGGAGCGTGGAGAGTTGAGCGGGAGAGACAGGAGGAGACGGGAATGAGAGGCAGTGAGAGACTAGAATGGGAGGCTCAGGAGACTAGGGCAGGGCGTGGGGAGAATGGACTAGATGGCATGTGATCCGATCAGCTGGCTTGGCCCTCGATTCATCTACCGTCTGCCCCACACCCCGAATTGCAGGCGGCTAGGAGGAAAACCTCGGGGGCCTCTCCCTGGCTTCCCCTCAAAGATTTTTTACTGTTAAATAGGCAGTTCAGGTGATTTCAATAGGTGATAGATTCCTTGTCGAAAAGTCAGTATATTGAAGTATAAAAGGGAAGAAAGGAGGAGAAACAACCTAAATCAGTTGGGCAAAGGTGGCTCCTTTAAGCTTCTGGTGTAAGCTAAGCATTGGTAGACTTTGGACAGCCAAATGGGGAGGGTCTGGGGCATGTCAGCCCTGAGTCACCTCACTTGGATGGAGCCCTGCTTCAGGCACTACTGCCACCTAATTTAAAGGGTCATTCATTTATCACTTAGATCATTTATCATACCCAGTTAGGGGGGCTAAGGAACTGTTAAAAGTTCTGGCCTGCAGACCACAACACCCAAAAGGAGAGAGAGAACACAAGGGATTGCCCTGCCACAGAGGCAGGGGGGGATGGGGGGGATGGGGGTGGGAGGGACATTATCCATGGTGGTGGAAAATGGGCACTGGTGGAGGGATGGGTATTGGATCATTGTATAATCGAAACCCAAGCACAAAAAATTGTAAATCTACAACTGTACCTCATGGTGTTTCACTAATAAAAAAAAAAAGTTCTGGCCTCTCTTGTACTCTGCTGGAACATGAGAGCTTCAGGAGATGTATCAGAGGAGCAGAGGGCACTGTCATTCTGAGGACGTGGAGGTCTCTAAAGGGCCTTCAGCCTCTGCTGACATTTTGTAGCCTAAAGGTCATTGTAGCAATGTTTTGGTAAATAAACTGTTTTCATTTTTTTCTAAGTGTCAGTATGTTCTCAGGCATAAAGCAAGTATATATGCCATACATTTAAAAATTGTAAATAAGGCAAATATTCTGTTAGTAGGTGATTACAATTTAATTTATTTATTTATTGCTTTTTGGGTCATACCCAGTGATGCTCAGGGGTTACTCCTGCCTTTGCACTCAGGAATTATTCCTGGCAGTGCTCGGGACCATATGGGATGCCAGAGATTGAACCCAGGTCGGCTGCATGCTAGGCAAGCGCCCTACCCGCTGTACTATCGCTCCGTCCCCAACAATTTAATATTTTTGATGGCATTTCTCTGATAAAATGTTAGCAAACTTGTGGTAGGACAGAGAATCTTGGATTTCCTTATCTATTCCACCAGGTTTTTTGAAAGACAAATGGATTACTCTAAGAGAAGGGCAACTTTTGGAATCTGATTGTTAATTTTTGAATGGTTAATATTTTTTTGGTTTTGGTACACTCATTGGCTCTGCAATCAGGAGTCACTCCTGGTAATGCTCTGAGGCTCATATAGGATGCCATGGATTGTGTGAAAGACAGGCATCCTACCTATTGTACTATCTCTCCAGCCATGGGGTTCTGAAGCTTTAAGGACCACAGATTCTGGAAGGTGAACAATATGGAAGATGAACGGAAGATAAAAATGTTTATGCAAATAAAGGCAGTGTTAGCGCAGCTGAAAAGTAAGAAGTAGATGGAGATGAGTAGATTTAACAACTTTCATCAGCCTTAGTGATTGACTTATTGTCTTACTGTTGATCTGGTTTCCCTGTCTGTCTTTCCGTCTGTCCCTGTGCCTACAAAAAGAAATGTTCCTGTCGAGAAGCTGGCATATGTCGTGTGAGGACTTCAGACTTTTGGTTTATTCCTTATTTGGTACCTACTGACATATTTAAAAGTTCACACAGAAGCATACTTAGCTGACTGTATGATTTGGTGGGTTTTGGTGTCGATGTTATGACTAATCGAAGGTGTTGATCAGTCATAACATGGACAAACACATGCATGCCTTCATGTCAGTGATAGTGAGAGATGTTGTGGCGCAAAATGACTTGTAAGTTTAGCAGAGATTTTTCAGACCGTGGCCAGTTTTAATTGAAAGGGATAGATTAGCAAATACAATTTTTCAAATGATTCTGGAATATAATAAGAAATTCAATGTCTATTTTAACAGGCCAATAGCAGGATATGCTAACCTGTGTCCAAATATGATCTCTACCCAGCCTCAGGAGTTCATTGGCATGCTGTCCACAGTGAAACATGAGATTATTCATGCCCTGGTAAATTTTGCTGTTAACTACTAATCTTTTCTTCATAAGTATACTTTGCTGCATTTTATGTCCTCTTCTTGACGTATATACTACATTTTAAGATTATATGGATTTTTTGAATCACATTTGATGGAATCTAGTTCATTAGGCTTTTGCCAATAAAAAGTAATGATTGGGTTAGTGACTAGGCGGAAGTATACTATGTTAAATAATTAAAGAAGAAAATCTTGGGGCCAGAGAGATAGTACAGTAGGTAGGGCACTTGCCTTGCACACAGACTGACCTGGGTTCAATTCCCAGTATCCCCTCTTATTCTCTGAGCACTGCCAAGAGTGGTCCCTGCGTGCAGAGCCAGGAATTAGCCTTGAATAGCACTGGTGCTATCCCAAAAACCAAACAAGGGAGAGAGAAAAAAAAAAGGAAAAACCATTGAATAAATAGGATTCAAGGAAAAGTATAGGCCTGGGAATATACTCACTGTCCAGCATCTGTCTTCCACACCTGAGGCCTTGAATTGGATCCTTGGCATTGGTCCACATGCTTGTGTGATTCCAAGGCTCATTTCTAGAAGTGCTCTGAGAGGGCGGGGGTGCAGCAGCCCCCCCCCACCCCCCCCAGCGGCGTGCCCAGGCATGATCAGCATTGCACTGTGGGCCCAAGTATCAGGATGTCTGGGCCTGGGCGCTGCTGACGAGCCCCAAAGCAGAGAACACAATAACAAAGGGTCTTGGTCTGGTTTGAACTCTCTAAAATGTGTTTACATGGGTTAACAAACTACCTTCCCCTGGCTGATCCAAAATGTAGGAATGAAACGAAGCTGGTTAAGCCCCTAGGAAATGTTTATGCCGGCACTGGGAGTGATAGTGCAGCATTGCCGAGCCTCCCAGGAGTGAGGGGGTGGGGAGGCAGAGGGAGACAGAGGGAGAGATGGAGAGACGGAGTGTGAGACAGAGAGACAAGGAGAGGGAGACAGACAGAGGGAGAGACAGAGACAGAGAGAACCATATTTTGTGTTTGGATAATACTTTCAGAAACTGACTTTGACTCAGTGAGATGCGTTCATCAGAGAGAGAAAGGATCCCAAAGAGCTCGGCATGAAGTCTCTTGACTGTACCACTAGAATCCTCTGGGACCTTTTGCAAATTACTTAGGTGACTGTCCGCATCCTTGTTAAGATAATAGTGGGACTTGCAGCAATGGGGTAGGAGAGATGGTACAGCAGGTATGGCTCTTGCTTGCCTTTCTTGGGGCCATTCCCGCTTCCATCCCAGCATCACTCCTGGGAATGATGTCAGGATTCACTCCAGGTGGTGCTCAGGCTCGAACCCGGGTTGGCAAATGCCTTTCCTGCTGTACTATCTGGCCCCATGGTCCTAGTTTCTTAAGTCAGTGTGTTACCGGTTTTTCTCTGGTGGGAGCTGTATAGGTGGGCTCCCAGGGTATTCCAAAGCGGGGGTGGGGGTGGGGGGCACTGGTAGAACAGGTCGCTGCAGTAAGGGGACAGGATAGGGAGGTTGAGAAATAATGGACTAAGTGACTGACACAGAATGTCTGTGTTTCTCTTTTGATTTCTTTACTTACAATTACCTCAAGCAATTGGAAATTTAAAATTCACTGGAACACCTAGTTGTCCAATTGCAATATGTAAGAATTTCTTACAGATGCTTTAGCTAGATGCTTTCAGAGGTAAAATGAGTGATCTCTTTTGATGGCTTGTTAAGATACCTGTAACATGAATCACACTTGTTATTTTCATTTTAAGATATTTGGAGGTAAAAAACTGTTTTGAACTTTTCTTATAGGGCTTTTCTGCTGGACTCTTTGCGTTCTACCACGATAAAGATGGAAATCCTCTCACGTCAAGATTTGCGGATGGCCTCCCACCTTTTAACTATAGGTATTTCATATGTATGCTTCTTCACTTTTAGGAGAACACCAATACCCGAGAATCAGCGCACGTTGGGTGCCTTGAATAATAGTGACTCTAGGACTAGCCCAAGAAAGTTACAGCTGGGGCTGGAGAGATAGAGGGCTGGGTTGGGCCCTGATCTTGTGTGGAGCCAACGTGGGTTGAATCCCCAGCATCTCATATGTCCTCTGAGCGCTGCCAGGAGTGATCCCTGAGCACTGCTGGGGTGACGCCAAAATGAAGGGAAGGGGAGGGGAGGGGAGGGGAGTGGTGTTTCATTTTATATTAAGATGAATGAATGTGAGTAGTAGGTAATGGGATATACATGATACCCTTTCAGTATCTGTGTTGCAAACCATAATGCCAGAAAGGGAAGGGGAGGGGCTGAGGGTGGAGAGACAGAGAAAGAGGAAAGAGGGAGAGGAAGGGAGGGAGGGAGAGAGAGAGAGAGAGAGAGAGAAGGAGGGAGGGAGGAAGGGAAGGAAGGAAAAGGAAGGAAGGAAGGAAGGAAGGAAGGAAGGAAGGAAGGAAGGAAGGAAGGAGGAAAGGAGGGAAGGAGGGTGGGAGGGAGGAGAGGAGAGGAGGGAGTGTCTGTCACAGAGGCAGGGTGGGGGTGATGCAGGGCCAGAGGGAAACTGGGGACGGTGGTGGTGGGAAATATACACTAGTGAAGAGATGGGTATTGGAACATTGTTTAACTGAAACCCAATCATGAACAGCTATGTAGCTGTCTATCTTTCAGTGATTTAATTAAAAAAAAAATTCAAAAAAAGAAAAGAAGCTCACATTAATCATTAGGAGTAATTCATATAGCAGTTATGACTTGCTAGGCTCTATGGTTTACATTTCTAAATATATGTAAAAGTACTGGGCTGGAGCGATACACCCGGCAAGCTACCGAGAGTATCTCGCCCACACGGCAGAGCCTGGCAAGCCGCCCGTGATGTATTCGATATGCCAGACACAGTAACAACAAAGTCTCCAATGGAGATGTTACTGGGCCTGCTCGGGCAAATTGATGAACAACGGGAGGACCATGACCGTGACCGTGACAGAGCTGGAGCGATAGCACAGCGGGTAGGGCATTTGTCTTGCACGTGTTCGACCCAGGTTCAATTCCTCCATCCCTCTCAAGAGAGCCCGAGAGTATCCCGCCCTCACAGCAGAGCCTGGCAAACTCCCCGTGGCATATTTGATATGCCAAAAACAGTATCGACAAGTCTCACAATGGAGATGTTACTGGTGCCCGCTCAAGCAAATCAATGAACAATGGGAGGACAGTGCTACAGTGCTATGTAAAAGTACATTTAAATAACTGAAGAGCTGAAAAATGTCCTATCCTTGTAGTACTATAGAGATGGAGAGTCACGGAAGAGTGACAGAGTCAGATCAAGCTCTGAATGTCACACTGCGAATACCTTATTTATTGCGCACCATTTTTTTCACTTTAAGAGATGCTAGATTTATTAGAAATTGAGCACACTTACATACTTTGATTGGTAATTAGTATTTTCCCCTTAAATTTTCATTCCAGGATTTACTTACGTAAAGATTAAAGTGTGTTAGCACAGAATTATCCGTAAAATTGTTTTTAATTTGTATAACCCTAAAAAAAGATATAGTCCTTGAAAAAATTTACTTTACCAACTTACTGTTCATGTACAGTTTTGTAGAATTTCAGAGGATTAGTTCTATTCAGTTTGTATGTGTGTAGGTATCAACCACCTTTGAAATTAAGAGGTGAAGAGAGAGGGAGAGGGAAAGAGAAGGGGAGTGATCTCCCATATGTCGGGAAAAAACACAGTAAGGAAACAAAAGATGGTCCTAGTCATCAACACTGAGGGTTCTCGACAGTAGAGCTGAGTTTCCGTAGGGTTGGCATTAGGAAGGGTGCTTGGGCCCTGGTGGCGGGAAGTGGACTCTGATGACAGCCTGTGTTGGGATGAGGTGTGCCTAAAAGGAGTATTACCATTGCTATCAATCCCAGTGCTTCCATTAAAAATGGTTTTCATAAAAGGAAAAAAGATGCATATGAGTTTCCCCTTTTTCACCTTACAAACGAGGTCTCTGAGAAGGAGGATTGTGGTCTTAGAAAGGCATAAAAGATAGATAGGAATTTTGCTCGTGTGAAGTAAGTGAGAGAGCTGTACCCCCCTTCCCCCCAACTATTGTGAGGCTGTGCATTCTTTTTTAAAATTATTATTATTTTATTTGATTTAATATTTTTGCTTTTTGGGTCACACCGGTGTGGCACAGGGGTTACTCCTGGCTCTGCACTTTAGGCATTACCCCTGGAGACTCTATGGGATGCTGGGAATCGAACCTGGGTCTGCCTCTTGCAAGGCAAATGCCCTCCCCCCCAATCACCCCAGCCCCGAGGCTGTACATTGTTGCACTGAGGCTGCTCCTCAAAAGCTTATCACAGTATAAGTGGACATCATAGAAATATAAGAAAATCTGTTGTTGAACATTTACAGTTGGAATGGGATTATTCCAAATAAATTATTTGGAGAAATTGTTCAATTTCAGGATTTTGAAAAGGATTTTGAGTGATTAAAAGGTATTTATTTTTCTGCTATTCACGGCTGTTCACTATTATGTTTAAATATCGACTTGCCTTAGAAAACAAAAGTAATTAATAACTTTTTTATGCTATCGCTCCAGCCCCAGGAGAGGCAAGGGATTTCAAGGACGATAAATAGATGAGAACAAATATAAAAATTATTCATTTTGGAATCTGGGTTAGATGTTGGCTGTATAGGTATTTGTATAAATTCACACCCGACGGGGGGGCCACTGTTGGCTTGGGTGATTCTCGAGAATCACCTGGGGGGAAATTTAAAAAATTATTTAGGCTAGGGAATGGGATTAAGGTGTTGCCCTCCACGGAGCCGGCCCTGGCTCAGTCCTGGGTTGCATACTGTCTCCAGAGCACCAGCAGGGGTGGAGGCCGGGAACCGAGCGCCAAACCCAACCACCACAACAAACATGATCAAAAACCCAACACGAACAGCTTTGTAGCTATATCTCATAGTGATTCAGTTAAAAAGAAGATTTAGACCTAGGGGGGATGTCTTAATTGCTGTGCTGGGTATCAGGGTGTTGCTTAGTGCAGAGTTACCTTCCTACATTCGCGTTCATGAGGCCTTAGAGTCAATCCCTGTTTTTCCCCCTCCCAGAATATTAAACAGAAACTACCGTAGTATTTTTCCTTCTGTTTTTGAGGTTGTGCCAGGACACACTTGCAGTCTGTATCGGCTCTTCTGGATATTGTAGATCTTTTCCCTTTCAGCCTGTATTTCCAGGACTGCTAGTGAGTTTAAGCCATTTGCATTTTCTCTTTATAACCTATTCACTTAATTTTCCTGCACTTTTGGATTTTGCTTCTTTTCTCTGGTCACTTTTTTTTTTTCCTTTTTGGGTTATACACGGCGATGCACAGGCATTACTCCTGGCTCGTGCACTCAGGAATTACTCCTGGCAGTGCTCAGAGGACCATGTGGGATGCTGGGGATTGAACCTGGTCAGCTGCATGCAAGGCGAACACTCTATCTGCTGTGCTATTGCTCCAGCCCCAGGAGTTATTTATGAATTAGGATATTAATCTTTATTATGCTTGCTTCAGATATTTTCTGTTCAGTATTTTTTAAATATATTTTTGCTATGCAGAAATACTTTGAAGGTTCATGTCAGTGAATTAATTTACTTTTCCTTTTTAACTTAGGAAAGTGTCTTATTTGGTTTTGCTTTTTGGGCCACACCTGGCTGTGGTCAGGGCTTGCTTCTGGCTCTGCACTCAAGGATCACTCTTGGCGGTGCTCAGACGACTAAGGTGTGTCGAAGATTGGACCTGGGTTGACTGTGTGCAAGGCAAATGCCTCCTCTGCTGTACTCTCACTCCAGAAAAGTTTCTACCCTCCAGAGATTAGAAACATATTCTGCCGGAGTGGGGGGAGATTGTTTAAGTTGTAGAGCCTGTGCCAGAATGTTCTAGTTCCTGCTTTTGTCCCTCTTCACCAGCACCATTTGGTGTTGTACTGGTGGTCCTGAACCTCTGAACACCACCGTGTGTGGCCCCTTTGAAAAATAATATATTTTTTTTCTTTTTGGGTCACGCCCAATGATGCACAGGGGTTACTCTTGACTCTGCACTCAGGAATCACTCCTGTTGGTGCTTGGGGGACCATATGGGATGCCAGGGATTGAAATCAGGTCGGCTGTGTGCAAGGCAAACGCCCTACCCACTGTGCTATTGCTCCAGCCCCCTCAATTAAAAGATCTTTTAATCCTTTCATATTCAAAACATTTGTGAACTCAGTCTGAACTGTGTCTCTGGGTGGAATGTACTTGGATTATAGGGGTTTTACCTTGATTGTGAGCTATTTTCAAGACTGCCACAGAGCTAAGGGAGAATATGAGAAAAACACCACAAATTGATATTCTTGCTCACATTTATGTTTCTTGGATTGCTGAAAGATTTTGATCAATTTTCAGCATTTAAAAAATGTTGATTTGGGACTGGAGAGATAATACAGGGGTTAAAGCACTTGCCTTACACCTGGCTAGGTTTGATCCATGGCACCACATATGCTTCTCAAGGCACCGCCAGGAGTGACCCTGAGCACATAGGCAGGAGGAAGCCCTGAGCAATGCCAGGAGTGATCCCTGAGCACATAGGCAGGAGGAAGCCCTGACACTGCCAGGAGTGATCCCTGAGCACATAGGCTGGAGAAAGCCCTGACACGGCCAGGAGTGATCCCTGAGCACACAGGCAGGAGGAAGCCCTGAGCAATGCCAGTAGTGATTCCTGAGCACACAGGCAGGAGGAAGCCTTGACCACCGCTGGGAGTGGCCCCCAAATCAAAATAATAAAATTCAATGAAGCATTTGATTTGTTGAATTTTTCTGCTTTTCTCTTCAGTGTCATGAAGCAGATCATTTTCATAGACGACTCTCTCTTTTGCTGACAGCCATCTGAAGTTTATTTTTGTATCTACCACAAACTAAGCATTTAACTTTTTCCTTTGATGGATAACCATTTCACATAATTATTACAATTTTTCACTAAATTGAAATACTCTTTTTGAGAGAGAACCCTAATAAACTCAATCAGAAATGAATGAGGGGACTTCACAATAGATACCACAGAAATTCAAAGGATCATCAGAGATTACTTTGAGAACCTTTATGCCATGAACCGAGAGAACATAGAAGAAATAGATAAATTCCTGGATTCCTGTAACCTCCGAAGGCTGAACCAAGATGATTTAGAATATCTGAACAGATCCAGCACTGTGGAGGAAATTGAAACGGTAATCAGAAGTCTTTCCAAAAACAAAAACACAGTGATTGAATAAGAAAGAAATAAAATAAAATCTCTCATTTTAAAAAAAGATAAAATTTTCATGTATATTTCGATCTATATCTGGATTTGCTTTTGTTTTATCCAGCAAATTTATTAAAAGGGAGTAATGCATTTTCTCATAACTTAGTGTTAGCTATGTGAACTTGAGTAAGTTACATCTGTCTAAGTAGCTCTCATTATTTGCGTAGTGGTGATGCTAATTTGTAAGGTTGTTGACAAGATCATATTAGAAAATGCTGTGCAGCACAGGCTGGGGTGTGGCTCAGCCCTAGAGCACGGGCTGCTGCCTGTGGAAGCCCGAGGCTGGTTCTCCAGCAAGTTCCTGAGACAGAAACACTCTTAAGGCCTTGGATGGGACTGTCAGGGCATGGCAATGCAGGGTGGATATCATGACACTTGACATTTAAAGTGATGGCAGATTTGCAGAATTGTCTCATTATTCTTTAATTGCAGCCTTGGATTATATCAGTGGAGTGATAAAGTCATTCGGAAAGTGGAGCGGTCCTGGCATGTGCGGGATGACAAGGTGGTTTCTCACACTGTACATCTCCTGGTGACGCCTCGGGTTGTCGTGAGTATGGGTCACTTCAGTCCCTCAGTCTGTGCTTCAGTCGCCATTGTGAAGAGTCCATACCTAAATTTTAGGGACCAGAATAGGAACTATAATATAAAGGTAATGCCATAAGTTTGAAGCCAAGGTTAATCAAAGAAAAAGGAAATTTGGTCATGACTACCCACTGAATTAAGTCAGGGTTCCTCTATTGTGATAACGTCTTCAGATCACTGGTCCGCTTGCATTTGTGGCAATTCTCTGTAGAAACAACCAATAGTTTGCTTGTTTCTCTCTCTCTCTCTCTCTCTCTCTCTCTCTCTCTCTCTCTCTCTCTCTCTGTCCCCTCCCTCCCTCCCTTCCTTCTTTCCTTCCTTCCTTTCTCCCTCCATCCCTCCTTCCCTCCCTCCTTTTTTCCCTTCCCCCTCCCTCCCCCCCATACACAGACATACAGATACACAGAGACACTCACACACACACACACACACACACACACACACACACACACACATTTACACATTTTCTGGGAGAGAGAAAGAGAAATAAATCTTAAGGAATAGGCTCACGCAGCTGTGGAGTTTTGGTGAATTCTGCGCCTACAAGAGCAGTTGTTGGTCTAGTAAGGCCTTCAACCGATTGAATGAAGCCTATCTTATTATGAAAGGTAATACGCTTTATTGAAAGTCCAGTGGTTTCAAGTTCATCTCATGAAAATGCCCTTACATAAACGTTCAGAATACTGTTTGACTACTAATTTGGGTATCTGGCCAAAGTATTCTGACACATAAAATTAACCATCAGATGGATTCATTCACCCTTCTGTTCATTTGGGATTTTTTTGTTGTTGTTGGCTTTTTTGTTTGTTTATCTGTGTTTGGGTCACACCCAGCAACGCTCAGGAATTACTCCCTGAGGCGCTCAGGGGAACATATGGGATGCTGGGGATCAAGCCAGGTCAGCCACAAGCAAAGGCAGTGATTTACGTGCTGTAGTATTTCTCCAGCTCCATTGTTCATTATTATTATTATTATTATGGTTTGGTTTGGTATTAAGGGTCATACGTGGTGGCGCTTAGGTCCTCCTGGCGCAGTGCACAGAGGATGCTCCTGGTCGTGTTAAGGGGACCATGAGATGCTGGGGACAGAACTGGGGTGTTCTTGCTTGCGGAGCATGAACGCAGACCATTAGACTCTCTCTCTGCCCCCATACCCTTTGCGTGGAGAGGGGCATACCCAACATTGCTCAGGGCTGTCTCCTGGCTCTGTATTCAGGGGTCCCTCCTGGTGGTGTTCAGGGGTCATTTGGGGTGCTGGGCATCAAACCAGGATCGGCATGTGCAAGGCAAGCACCTGACCCACTGTTCTATCTCTCTGGACTCCCAAACCCTCTTGTTACTACTCTGCTATTTTCTTAGAACATAGGACTTTCTCTGCCTTTGGATTTGTGCACTGCTCTTGAAATCTCTAAAGGACCATCAAAACCAAATGATCAGATGAATTCTATGAACAGTTTATTGAGTGAATAGTCAGTTTTTTTTCTACAAAGACTGTATTCATTATTAGAAAATTTTATACCTGATTTAAAATTGTTGTTGATTTAAAAGTTAGAAATGGCAATCATGGAAGTTTCTAATTTTTTGAAAGATATGGACTAAAAAAAAGTTAAATTTTAAATAAAGGCAAAAAATTTTAGAGAAATAGTAATTTGCGAGTGAAGAAAGGGTGGCAGCATCAAAATATTTTAGTAAATTGTATTAGATACCTAGGTGGGGGTAGGGTAGGGCTACCCAGCAGTATTCAGGGCTTACTCCTAAGAATGCTTACGGACCCGTAGATTCTGCTGGGTATCAGACAGGTCGGTTGAGTATGTAGGCAAGTGCCATAATCCCTGTACAATTAAGCCCTGAATATTTAATTTTTTGTTTATTTTTGCTTCTAATTTTTTAAAATTTTATTTTTATATAGTTGTCACAATAATTCATTGCATTTAATATTCAAACACCAATTCCACCACTGTGCACCTTCCCACCGCCGTAAGAGGAAAGTGTGTGAAGATTGTTGTATTTCATCCTGGAGTCATTAAGCCCTTGTATAGGAAATTACAAGCATGTATATTAAACCCAAACAAATTGTGTTACTTTTGGTACATCAAAAGGCTAGAGCATGAGAGGTCACTCTAGGAACTCTGAAATTTAGAATATGATTACAGTGCACATTCACTCATGGGTAAGGTTTATGTCACACTCTTCTTGGCTGTTGATGAGACTGTATGGTCCCAGGGGCAGTTTGTGGGTGTGACTGCCAAGCTACTGGTAAACTTGGGAGCTGGAGGGAGGACGCCCAATCCTGCTCCGAGTGAGCTTGGAGATCTCAGTAATGGGTCCCACATACCTGGGTTTTTCTGTAGGTTCCCTCATGGGTGAGGCTTATCTGAGCAGTTGAGTTCTAGAGGTATTTGGCTGCCAGGGTTCTGTTGGGGCAGGGAGGGAAACTCAACCCGCACCCCCCTTCGAGTTGCCCCTGTGAAGATAGCCTGTCTTGGGGGCAGGATGTTCTATGTTACTCTCTTCCGGGAGCTTTATTTCTGAGTTTCTGGATCTTGGCCGTTGATGAGATTATATGGCAGCTGGGGGCAGTTTGTGGGTGTATGTGACTGCCAAGCTGCTAGAAGACAGGGGACTTGGGGGGAGGAGGCCCAGTCTCGCTCTGAGCAAGCTTGGAGATTAGACATTTAATTTTAAAATGAACTCTTTCCTCTTAACAAAATAATTCTTTAATCCCTACTTTATTTTATTAAGTTTAGTAAAGAATTTGCCATTTTCTTTTTGTGCTTTTGTAGTATATGTATTTTTTTTCTGATTCTTAGGAGGAAGCGAGAAAACATTTTGACTGTCCAATTCTGGAGGGAATGGAACTTGAAAATCAAGGTGGCATGGGCACTGAGCTCAACCATTGGGAAAAACGCTTACTAGAGGTCAGTGTACTTTCAAATATTACTAGAAATATGTTGTCTTTAATAAAGGCAATTTCTGTTCAAAGCAGAAGTTACTCAAGACAATAGTAGGTTATAAAGTTAACACTTTAGAATGTCTTTCTTTTCCTTTCAGCTTTCTGGATGCCCATTCCAGTCGCAATCACTTTCTTTCCCCAGAGCACAGAAAGATAGTTTTTATTGAAAGAAATTTACTTAGAAAGCTATGAGGGGAGAGGAAGAGAGAATACAGGCTTCTCTGGAATGGAAAAAGAAAGCAAGGCAAGAGAGATAGTGAGAGGTGTGTTGGAGGGAGGACGTGGGCTGCGAGAGCAAGCCTAGTCTCTGTTTGGTGCCACTCCCGGCAGTGTGTTACCACAGCGCACACAGACTATAAGGGAGTTCTCAGTACTGCACGTTTCCATTGCCTGAAGGAAATCCACATGTAAGTGAGGCCCTGCACTGTTCACAGATTAACTGTATACACACAGTGCTCTGATTGTTTTAAATGGGTCCAAACATTCATGCACCCTTCTCCTTCCCTCTCCTCCCCTCCCTCTCTCCTTTCCTACCCCCCGCCCCTCCTTCCCTCCTCCTCTCCTCTTCCCTCCTCTCTCCTTCTCTCTACCCTCTCTTCCCTCTACTCTCCTCTTCTCTCTCTTTTTTTTTTTTTGGCCATACCTAGCACGATGCTCAGGTCTCACTCCTGGCTCTGCACTCAGGGATCACTCATGGCAGTGCTCAGGGGACCATATGGGGTGCTGGCAAGCACACTACCCACTGTGCTCTCACTGGGGCCCCATGCACCCTTTTTCAATTATTTTATCTTAAATATCTTTTTGAGGCAGTAAAATATCTTTTCTTAGCAGGTGCATAGACAGTGTCCTGCCCCTAAGGACTGGCCCGGGAGACACTGCAAACAGGAAAGCCAGACTGGCTGACCTCAGGCAGTAAAAGATATTTTACTGCTATAATCACGAGACTTAAACACTGAATTATCTGTTACTTATTGGAAACTCGGGAAAAAGCACGCATGCGGTGCCACAGAGTACAGCATTCTCTGTGGCTCGGGCTGGCATCTGTGCAAGCGTCAGCTCAACCCCAAGCCCCATCCCCATAAGAACTAATACCATTCTTTTTATTTATTTATTTATTTATTTATTTATTTATTGAATCACTGTGGGAAAGGTTACAAAGCTTTCAGGTTTATGTCTCAGTCATGCAAATATCAAACACATTTCCCTTTACCAATACTTATTTTTTACCATGAAGAACCCCAATAAAACCCCACCCCCCACCCCTCCCCGTCCCTGTGAGGCAGATGAATTCTAGTTAACACTCTATCTGCTTTGATTAGATTCATTGTTTCAATAAAAGATTCACCACTCTAATACCATTCTTAGCAGGTGCATAGACAGTGTCCTGCCCCTAAGGACCGGCCCGGGAGACACTGCAAACAGGAAAGCCAGACTGGCTGGCCTCAGGCAGTCATTCTTCTTCTACCTTTCTCTCTGTGCTGAGGCGTAGCTGGGGTTTTTATCTCCTGAAGTCCTATTTCTGGTATCACTGGCGACATTTCACCTTTATTAGGTTTCCAGGAGAACAGCTGGAAAGCTAACTTCAACTCATAAAAGACAAAAGGACCCCTTCCCTGGGCCGGTTGGGCAGAGACCTCAGTGGGCAGGGTTGCCCACACTCACCCCTTAGTGTGTCCTGGGGACACCCATGCCACAGGCCCAGCACTGCAGGGCAACACTGCATTGTGGGCTCAAGCGCACCCCATCCCCCAAAGAGAAAGAAATTTCTGGAATTGAAATTTCTGTCTGTATAAGTATTTAGTTGCAGTTTAAATAATTGAGGATCAAATTTGAGGAAATCATGAAAAATAAAAGGAGTGCCTGCTCTGTCCGTTCTCATCTAGTTGACCACAAAGTTATGATGGAAACTTTTGGGAGACAATTATTTCTCCAACAAGATTTTATTTTTATGTAAGCAAGTTTTCTTTCCTCTCCTCCCTTTGCTCTCCTTCCCCTCTCTTCTTTGCTTGTTTTGTTTTTGTTTTTGCTTGGGGGCCATCCCTGGCAGCATTCATGACTCTCTTCTGGCTCTGCTCTCAGGAATGACATCAAGCTGTGCCAGCCCCATGCCAGGCCTTATCTGCTGTGTTATATTTCCAACCCCACTAAATTTCAGTTCTCCATTTTTTAAAAAAATTTATTAATGAATCACCATGAGGTACAGTTACAGACTTACAAACTTTCGTGCTTATGTTTCAGTCACACAATGATTGAGTACCCATCCCTCTACCAGTTCCCATTCTCCACCACCAATGGTCCTAGTATACCTCCCACCACCCCCACACCATCCCCTGCCACCCCACCCCACCCCACCTCTGTGACAGGGCATTCCCTTTTGCTCTCTTTCTCCTTTTGGGTGTTGTAGTTTGCAATAAAGGTATTGAGCGGCCATCATGTTCGGTCTGTAGTCTACTTTGAGCACGCATCTCCCATCCCAAGCGGGTTCTCCAAATACCCATTACTTGGTGTTCCCTTCTCTATCTGAGCTGCTTTTCCCCCAGCATGTGAATTTGGCTTCCAAGCCGTAGAGCAATCCTCTTGGTACTTATTATGGTACTATTCTTGGGTATTAGTCTCCCCTTCTGTTTCAGCTCTCCTTTTTTTTTTTTCTTTTTGGGTCACACCCGGTGTTGTCCAGGTGTTACTCCTGGCTCATACACTCGGTGTTGCCCAGGTGTTACTCCTGGCTCATACACTCAGGAATCACTCTTAGTGTTGCTCAGGGGACTATATGGGATGCTGGGAATTGAACCTGGGTCAGCAGCATGCAAGGCAAACGACCTACCCGCTATGCTATTGCTCCAGCCCCTTCAGTTCTCCATTTTTAAGTGGATAATTTTACAAGCTTTCACCCATGGGCAGTCAGAGTAGATAGACAGGGAATCACAGCGCTGTGGAAGTACAGGAGCCGCCTCTCACCAGCTCTGTCATGATTTCAGAACGAGGCCATGACCGGCTCCCACACCCAGAACCGCGTGCTCTCGCGCCTCACGCTGGCCCTGATGGAGGACACCGGGTAAGCGCCTCCACAGGAGCGGGACTGTCGTTGCAGGGAAATTAAGGTCGAGATTGAGATGAAACTAGAAGGAAGACTGAAATTTTTACTTTAGAAATTGTACGTGGTTAGCTGTTTGCTACTTTGACATGAAGAGGCACATCGAGCACTACTCTGGGCTTACTCCAGGCATGTTGGGTTTCACGTGGGGACCATGTGTGGTGCCAGGGTGCAAGCCTAGGTCAGCGTTGTGCACAATAGATGCCTTACCTGCAGGATGATCTCTCTGGCCCAACCACTTGCTGCTTATACCAACTTCATTTAATCAGTAAATGTTGGGAACTCTGAGGTATATAGAATCAATGAACAAAATTACATTTGAGATTTATTTTCTATAAAAAGGGGCTACTAATATAAAAACGAATTTTTTTAATTGAAATAGGTAATGTATAGGCCTCTAATCTTTGTGCGTGTGTGTGTGTGTAGAGAGAGAGAAAGAGAGAAGAAAGAAGAGAGGAGAGAGAGACAGAGACATCAAACCCAGGGCCTTACACATGCAAGGACCCAACTCAACGTTCTGTTTCGTTTCTGATTATTTGCTTTGGTTTTTCCAAAGTTGAGATGACTTGGTTTGCAATAATACTGCTATTGTTTTGTGTTTGCAGTGGTAGTACACCACCCCCCAACAGATATCATCAAGGTCCTGCCTCCCTCCTGTCCCCTCTGCAGACCCAGTTACTGGTTCTGTCGACAGTACTGAAGAGTTTATTTCCACTGGGGAATATTAGCTAATTCCTTGCTTTGTTTGTTTCTTTTTCTTTATTTGTGGGTGGATTTTATTGCAGAGCCTGGCAAGCTATCCGTGGTCTATTTGACATGCCAAATCCAGTAAAAAAAATGGATCTCATTCCCCTGACCCTGAATACAGCAGAGTCGAGAAAGATGTGGAAGGAAAGGCTGATAAAATCCCAAGGTAGAAATAAGCTGCCAAAATGAAGAAAGACAAAAATGATTGTCTGTACTTTTAATGCATGTACGCTGGCATCTGATGCATCCATCGAGGACCTGATGGTACAAGCACAAAAGATCAAGTACGACATCATTGGTCTGACCGAAACGAGAAGACATCAATCACATCACGCCGTTTTCGACACTGGAGAAGAACTGTTCCTTGGAACATGTGACAAAAGAGGCATCGGTGGTGTCGGTATCCTTGTCAGCACAAACTTAGCCATGAGCATTGATTCATTCGAATGCCTAACAATCCGAGTCGGACGATTACACTTGAATAGATGTGGCTCACTGCCGGCAGTTTCTATCTTTGTTGTCTATTCACCAACATCCAATTATGGTGAAAGAGAAATTGAGAAGTTCTACATGGAGCTGGAGAAGTTCTGTAAAGAAGATCACACCTTCTACAAGATCATTGTCGGTGATTTTAATGCCAAGATAGGACCAAGAAAATCAGGCGATGAACTCCACATCGGGACCCATGGCCTAGAATAGAACAAACAGGGTGACAGACTGTCTGAGTTCATCATGTCAACCAAGACCTTTCATGGTAACTCACAGTTCCAAAAGGCTGAATCTAAACGTTGGACATGGGAGTCTCCCGGTGGACGGTTCCACAATGAAATAGACCACATCATGTTCAATCGGCGGTTTTGACTAACCGATGTTGCTGTTGTCCCAAAATTCCAAACGGGATTGGACCACCGTCTCCTTTGTGCAAAATTCTACCTCACAGAACGAGGAGAAAAGAATGCAAAGTTTAAGAAGAGCTCCCAGAACGACCACCAACTGGGAGCTCTTTGGCTCTGTTGTGGCAACATGGGAAGATGCCATCATTGACAACATTGATGAGGAATACGATCGAATGATTCAGCACCTCCATGAGTGTGTGAGGAATGCCAAGAGAGAGATAACGACAAAAAACCGCCTTTCTTTAAACACTCTTGAACTTATTTGCACATGCCTCAGGCAACCACAAGTGAACGTCGGAGCTGGCAAAACAATGCAGAGAAGCCATCAAGGATGACCTCAAAAACAGGAGAGCAGTGGTGCTGGTAGATGCGGCAGAAGCTGGGAAAAGCATTCGTAATGCCTGCCTGTCCTTCACCAACTACAAGACCAAGATGACTGCCCTCCGACATCCTGATGGATCTATCACATCCTCCAGAAAGGCAGTGGAGAAGATTATTCATGACTTCTACTCAGATTTCTTTAATAGCCACGTCCACTTGCCCACATACCACATTCCGCATGATGGATATGTCGTTCCCAATGTTCTCCCTTCCGAAGTCCAACATGCCATCTCGTTGGTAAAGAAACAAAGAGCACCTGGCCCAGACAAGATCAGACCTGAACACCTGAAGAACTTACCATCAGTACTCATCAGTACACTGGCTCGGCTCTTCACACGCTACCTGTCTGAATGCAAGGTGCCGTCCCAATGGAAAACCAGCAGGACTGTACTACTCTACAAGAAGGGAGACATCCACGACATTGGCAGCTATTGCCCAATCTGCCTATTGTCTGTCGTCTACAAACTGTTCACTCGAGTCATCCTGATTAGGGTTAGCAGAACACTAGATGAAGGACAACCATGTGGACAAGCCAGATTCCGAAAAGGATTCAGTACCATCGACCATATCCACACGATTACTAAGCTCATTGAGGTTTCTCAGGAGTTCAAGATGCCACTCTGTCTAATGTTCATTGATTTAAAGAAGGCCTTTGATTCTGTCGAGATGGAAGCGGTCATGGAAGCCCTAGCCAATCAGGGCATACAAACTCAATACATCAGGATCCTTTGTGAGCTCTATTGCGGATTCACTACCAAGATCTCACCATTCTACAAAGAAGTAATCATCCATATCAAGAGAGGGGTTCGGCAGGGTGATACCATTTCACCAAAACTCTTCAGTGCCACCCTCGAGAACATCATGCGACGACTAGAATGGGAAAGCATGGGAGTGAAGATAGATGGTTGGCAACTACACCACCTCCGTTTTGCTGATGACATCGTTCTAATAACACCAAACATCAGTCAAGCGGCACAAATGCTGAACGACTTTGACCGTGAATGTGGAAAGGTCGGACTACAGCTGAATCTTACAAAGACAATGTTTATGAGAAACAGCCTTGTTCCTGACGCTCCGTTCGCTCTCAATGGAACCACCATCTCCGAATGCAACAGTTATATATACCTAGGTCGAGAAATCAACATGATGAATGACCTGACACCTGAGTTGCACAGGAGGAAGAGAGCGACTTGGAATGCCTTCAAGAACATTGAAGAAATAACTAAAAGGACAAAGCACCTCCAGCTACGAGCACATCTCTTTGATTCCACTGTTCTTCCTGCATTAACATATGCCTCAGAGACCTGGACCCTACGAAAACAGGATGAGAACGCTATTCGGGTCTCTCAAAGAGGAATCGAAAGAGCTATGCTTGGAATATCACTATTCACTCAAATGAGAGATAGAATCCGGAGTTCTGATCTCCATCAACGCTCAAGAATCAGGGACGCTGTCTCATTTGCCAAGTCATCAAAAATCAGATGGGCTGGACACGTAATGAGGTTTACAGACAACCGCTGGACTAGAGCCTTTACTGACTGGATTCCACAGGACGTCAAAAGATGGCGTGGACGCCCACTTACAAGATGCTCAGACTTCTTCGTCAAGACCCTGAATGATCGGTTTGAGGCTCTGCATGTTCCTAAAACGAACAGATGCCATTGGGCTACGCTAGCACGCAACAGGGATGAATGGAGACATTACTGGCACCCGCTCGAGTAAATCGATGAATAACAGGGGATCAAGCGATCAAGTTATCAAGTGGGTGGGTTGGGGGACACCAGGTGAAGCTCAGTGGTTACTCCTGGCTCTGCGCTCAGGAATCACTCTAAATACAGTGCTCAGGGGACCGTAGGGGATGCCAGAGATTGAACCTCAGTCAGCTGCCCCCAATACTATCATTCCAGCCCTGTTTCATTTTCTTAATTGAATCATCCTGAGATACACAGTTACAAAGTTGTTCATGATCAGGGTACAGTCATACTGTGTTCCAGCACCTGCCCCTCCCAGTGTATCTTTTCCACCACCAGCGCCCGCCTCCCACCCCTTGTACTTTATTCTCCACATACGAGTGAGATCATCTGGTATTTGTCTTTTACTTTCTGACTCAGTCATTGAGTGACATCCTTCAGTTCCATCCGACCTGCAGTGAACTCCAGAATTTTATCTTTTCTCACAATTTTATCTTTTCTCACAACTGAGTAGTGTTCCTCTGTGTGTGTGTGTATCACAGCTTCTGCTCATCTGTTATTGAGCTCTTGGGCTGTTGTAAATAGTGCTTCAGTGAACACTGCTGTGCGTATGTCCTTTTGGATGAATGTTTTTCTGTACTTGGGGTAGAGGTCCAGGAATGGAGAATCCTAGATTTTATTTTTTTATTTTTTAATTTTTTATGATTTTTATTGAGGTACTGGATTTATAATACTGTTAATCATACTTTTCATGCATATATTATTCTAATATCACATTCATCTAAAGAGTGCCCTCTTCCTCTCAACTGTGTCCCAAGAGTTGGTAACTCCATCCCCCACCCCAGGTAAGCTCACCAGTTTTGTAAATGAAAATCTCTAGTTCTGATGACTCTGACTATTTGTTGTTCTCTTATTACATTTCTGATAGCCAATAAATGAGAGAGATTTTATTTTTTTTATTGTGGAGGTGGTGACACCTGAGTAAAGCTAAACTCCTAAAATTCCACAGAATTAAAAATCAATAATAAGTTGATAAATTTTTTCACAACATTTTTGAGTTTTTTAATTATTTAAATTAAAAATTGATGCTATGAATAATTTAGTACTAATGCTTTTTTTTTAATTTGCTTTTTGGGTCACACCCAGTGATGCTCAGGAGTTATTCCTGGCTCTGCACTCAGGAATCACTCCAGGCAGTGCCTGGGGGACCTTTTGGGATGCCGGGGATCAAACCCAGGTTGGCCGC